ATATATTTATCTTATATGGTGTAATAAAAAAATATTTTTAATCATTATTAAATAACATTGATGTTACATCAATAGAAATTATTAATTTGTCGACAGATATATATTATGTTGTCCAGGAAATATTAAATATAATTTACAACAAGTAGACACATTTTGGAAGATTTCGTTTTTGAAATTATGTCATAGAGCCCCAGCCAGATGTTACCCTTAGCTTTTTGACCTGGGGCATTTACCAAAAACAATTTCACACGAAAGTTGTGGTCCATTTTACAACTAAATTTAATCCACAAGCCCGTGCACTCGGAAATATGGACCTTGACTAAACTGAGCGGAAGTTGCCGGGATAGTTCCATCGCCGATACCAGCATTGAATGCAACCAGCTGGTCAGATTACGAATGAAAGCGTCTTACGAGCATTGGTGGAAGGAGTTATGAAGAGGAACTTACGAAAAGGAACTTTCTCTAAGGCGAAACTCAGTTTAGAAACACGCGAAATTGTTGGAATTCTCGAGAATATTGGGAAAAAAAGTACGAAAATGAACGGAAATTCGGAAAATCGAGTGGTTTGATGATGTTTTCTATAGAAAACCGACCTCTAGCGGCTATAATTAACAAGTAACAACAGAACAGGAAAAATAATTCACCGAAGTGTGAAATTTACAGAAAAAAATTCAAAAACAAGAGTATTTTGGAATTTGAAGCAAAAAAATCAGTTTTTTCCAGGTCTTTTCAGCAGTTAAAAGCGACCTCTAGCGGCGATATGGAGCACTACGTATCTGAGACAGCAAATAAGCCCAGCAGGATTGAAGAAATGTTCAAAAATTATTACAATTCACGAAAAATCTAGAAAAAACAGCAAAAAATGGGAATTTTGGAGATATTTCCTTATTTACAGGGCGACACCTAGTGGCGATTATGGACACTTCAGATGACGACAAGTGGTGGGAGAATACTCTGGTGTAAACGGACCCGTAATAATGGCGGAAACCCAGAAAAAATCGGAAAAAAATTGATAAAAAGTAAGATTTTTCGGCTATTTTTATATATAAATAGCGCCCTCTAGCGGCCAAATGATGAATTACTAGTCTGCAAGACTAAATTATTCCAACACTTCACGGCTATATATGTTAATATAGAATAATATATAGGTGTCACAAACAGGTTGTAGTGCGACCATATAAACAGACCGACTGTAGGGTGTGCGTTTATTAAAGAGCGCAACGAAGAGAATATTTCAATCACTGTTGAGTGAAAATAATGAATAGACACTGTGGTGGCTGAGTGGACGAACAACTCAACAGCGGCCAACAAGGAATGATAATAGTATGTGTGCTTATGTGTGGATGAATAGTTAGCGTGCTGACGAGAATATCCAGTAGTGGGAATCTCTCTAACAACAACAACTACAGTGATAGAATAAAACGGAGATGGATAATATGCATAAACACACAACAAGTAGAAATGGTTTAGCGGCAAAATAGAAAATAGAAATATGAAGAACAAACACACTGTCGCGAATTGGAAATAAATAAATATTTGAATATTATTTAAATTAATGGAAATTTAAACGGGAAAATAATTGAAATTATATTAATGGAAGGAAAAATATTTTTCAACTAAATTCGATTAAAAATATTTAAAGGAAAATTTAAATATTTTATGATGATTTGGAAGTAATTTTAACTTTAAACTTTGGAGTTAAAAAATCGGAACACTGTGCGTTGATAGAAACAAAAAAGGAAATATCAATTTGCTGACGGCAAAACGCACTTTGAGTTAATCACTTGGATATTGAATCGCACTATTGAATTTCACTTTTGGATGATTAAAGCACAAACTTACCTTGATTTTGATGGAAAAAATGGATAAGGAGGATAGTATGGATGATTGGCAATTTTGGCACGGCAGTTAAATCCGGTTCGAATGGACCAAATGTTTTTACCAAATATGGGTATTTCTGTGGAGTAGAAATCTGGTTATACTGCTGTTTTGGACAGAAAACTATTCCGTGGAATTCGAAATATTTTACTCTCGTTTTGCAGATGTGGATAAGGAAAAGGAAGGAAATAAAACGAGCGTATTAGTTTTGTTTGAAAGAACAATTCTGGTTCTTTATTTAGAATTCAAATTTGAAGATTTGAATAGCGCTTACCAAATTCAAACAGTTGTGGTTGACGTTAAGGTAACAAGTGATTTTATTTGGAACAAAGGAAAATCGAAAAACACAGGGACCAAAGACATATGATTGAGGTACAGCACAGACAACTCGATTGCGCGAAATAACTTTTGATGGGTACCGTCATCAACTGCAAACAATTTAATAAAACATTGATGTTTAAATCAATAGAAACATATTCATTTGCGACAGATATATTATGTTGTCCAGGAAATATAAATTATATTTAACACACAAGTAGGTACACATTTGGAAGATTTTCGTTTTGAATTATGTCATAGGCCCCAGCAGCATGTTACCTTCGCTTTTGACTGGGGCATTTACCAAAAACAATTTCACACGAAAGTTGTGGTCCATTTTACAACTAAATTTAATCCAATGGTCATCCAAAATGCTAGACTTTCTCCGTGTCCTTTACTCTCTTCCCAAGCAAAATTCCGTGTCGATTGGTTTTCAATTTTGACCTGTAGAGCGACATAGTGTTGCTAGGTGTAGAAAAACTTCAGAAAATTTGCTTTTCAAAATTGGAAGTCAAATTGAAAAAATTGCATGCGATAACAAAAATATGACAAAATTAAAAAATAAACTTTTTTTAGATACTTTACTTTTCTGGATTTTCTCAGATATTTTACTTTTCTGGCAGGAGACCATTCCGAATTGATGAAAATTGTAAAAATCAGTCCAGCGCTTCTTGGCTTATAAGCGGAATAACTAAGATCTATTTCTTTTACATATCAATTGTAAAAATTTTGCTATATTTCCGATTGCTTGGCTAACAGCATCAATGTAATGGTCAGAAGTGAACATATAATGTATTTGTGATTTGGCCGGAATTACAAATATTCGCGGTTTTGGACATTTTTGTATTTGTGACATAAAAGGTATACTCTATTTTAGACGCTAAATATTGTTCGATGACTGTACAAATTAGTGGGTTTCTGGTCAGCCCTAATTCATGCAGCAAAATCAAGAAAATGTTCTGTTTTCTATGCGGAAAACCAATATTTCGAGTAGTTACATAATTTTTGGCCCAATCAAACTAAAAATACCCCCAACACATAGTGTTGTAGGGTATAAATACTAAATGTTATTAAATTTTGTATTGAGTGATTGCATAGAAAATGCAAAATGCATAATATCGGTCCACCCATTAAGTACCTCCCCCACTTTAAATGAGAAAAGAAAACCAATCGAATGGTTTGGCTGTTGATTCAATTCGGATGTTATGTAGGCTACTTGTTTCTACAAGCCAAGGACTTTCTCTTTGGTCTCCACATTAAGAGCCTGCGTGACTTTAAGGATGACCTTAACCTCTACCGAATACAGCCTCGCTATCGCATTCGGCTGACTTGCTCTGATAGCAGCGGCTAGTTTGGACTTCTTTAGAAGCATCTGTAAAAACCGCATATGAACGCCTGGATACAACATTACGTCTCTTGCCGCGTCCATAAGTTTTTCTTTGGGGAAGTCAAATACGCCTTCTATGGCTTCTTCTGTCTTTAATTTACTCATTATTGCCATAATTTCGAGAAGAGTGGCAGCCTCTTCCTTTATTTTCATCATTGGCGGCCATTTCACCGATTCGTTCTCCTGGGGATATGCCTCACCCCTTCTGTCTGAAGACTTCAAATATGAAGCCCCCCGGTGTGCACCGCCACCACAGTCCTCTGTGCTGAAGTCTCCTTCTGACTTAGGATCCTTTTATTTCGCTTATAAATTTCTTCTGTATGGCAACAATTCCAGCTGTAGCTTTAGCTCGGTAATTTTCCACTCTTGAAGACCAATTTTAGCCTGACAGAATTTCCTCGATGTAAAGGCAAATTCTTCAACATTTATCCTCTACCGATCCGGCTCGAAAGGACCAATGTAAACCGGGATCAATAATTAAAAGACGCAACGTCTATACCATTTGAGCGTTTGTAAGACACTAAATGTATTTATTAAAAATAATTCTTAAGAACACCCACATGGGGTAAAAATTTTGAATAACTCTAATAAAATGTGATGCAAAAATCCGATTGTCTTAAAATTTCAAACATCTCAATATTTTTATAAACCAAGGATCTGGTGTTAAGATGGAATATATCGGTTAACTATTTCTGGTACCTCCGCCACGTAGATTCAAAATTTTGAAAAATAAACCGTGTAAAGGTAGCGATATAAGCACCCAAATCTCTTTAAATTTCACACATACAAACATTTTCTCTAACACAAGATCAGTTGTGAAGGTGATATATATCAAAGGATCACAATTTTCAATACATTTATCTTTCATAACTTGTCTTTACAACTTCCTATTCTAAATATTTCTCTCAACCTGAAACCTGAGGTGATTATGGAATTTATGATTTCGCATACTATTGGATATAAATGTTCGATTGTCTTGTAATTTTATAAAGTATGAAAGTGGAATATTTCAGTCGACTACATATGGCAACTCACTCACATTTGAAAATTTTCTAAAAATTATCACATATCTCATATAAAGCGAAGGAAGTAGTCGATGTAGCCCAAACCTGGCTATTTCGAAGTATCTATATCACATTTATTTAAGTCCGATACGAAATGGACAATATTGGCGCATTCCGTCGGTCAGAGGGGTCAACAATTTGAAGTCAAAATATATTTAAATAATCGAACATTGGCTGAGGGTATCCATCTGTCGGCAAAACCGACTGACACTTCTTAACTTGTTGAATTGAAATATAAAAAAATCTGTTGCACAGTTTAATTTAAAACTTTTGTTCTAACTTGGAAAAGGTTCAAATACATACAAATTTCTTTAAATGGTAGGTTCTACAAGACGTTATTACTTATAACTTACCTTAGGATTTAATCACCTCACTTCAGATATATGGAAGAAATCTGTAATGAAACAGAAGTTGGTAGGAATCAATTTAGTGTTTTTTTATTAAATAATGATATTAGTTATAACATTAAAACTTGGTGATTATATGAAGTATCCAACATAAATGTGATAATTCTTAACATAACAAAGTGCTTAGAGATCCTAATGTTAAATTAAATTTACAGATTTTAGAACGAATGAGCCGATAACATACCTTAAACATACTTACATGTGCAGTGAAGTTTCATTCATGCTCCCGTCATTTAATTTCTATGGTTACACAAATAGAAATCATGCATTCCCCACATTTCCAATTAACCGAAATTAAACTTTGCACTTTTTAGAGAACATCAAACCACCTAACAATTTAATTTAAAATCATTTCAAATTAAAATGTATTGTGTTCCACTCCAACTAACTTTTACATGCCAAACACACACAATTTTCCTAGTTTTCAAATGTAGACATGCATTTTTAAGGAAAACACATTCTTACAGGTGTGGTGATGTGTCGTCAGGGGCTTAGGAATAAATACACCCCGTATGAGGGCAAAAATGTCTGTGTGGGCCGCACAACATATTGTTTTGACACATTTGTTATTTAACATCTTCACCACAATAGTTATATATGGGGTATGGCATGGGAGACGGAAATTTAGTTAAAAAATATTTTACACCAAAAACTGTTAAAAAAGATTAGAACTTCGAGAGCCAAAAAGGTGTCAGAAATTTTGTATTTTCGTAGTTTTCTTTTGATTTTAATGTGGACTACCCCATACCCCAACTGGAGACACATTAGATGTTTTAGAACAGCACATTGTCTACGTTGCCAACAAAATGTTCAGTTCCAGGATCCTGCTCACTTTGCTATCTTTTGTCTTTTCTTTGGCTGGTGATAACATGAATAGATGAAAGTTTTTAGTTAAAGTTTTTAGAAAATATTTCTCCTGAAAACGTAAATGGGCTGTGTGACTTTTGCCATGCAAAACATGACAAAAGATTTGTGAGCGAGGGGAGCATGAACATTGAAGGAAAAAGAGTAGGCTTTCACATAGAAGACTTAGACAAGGAGATCTTCTCATGAAAGCCCAGGATGCCTTCCCAAATGAGACCAATAGGTCTTCTCATAGAAGTTCTTCTCATAGAAGACCAAAAAGTCTTCAGATAGAAGACCAAAAGATCTTCTCATAGAACATCGAACGGACTTCTCATAGAAGATCAAAAGGTCTTCCCATAGAAGACCAGTAGGTCTTCCAGTCGGACTTCTCACAGATGACCAGTAGGTATTCTCATAGAAGACCAGTAGGTCTCCTCATAGAAGACCATTAGGTCTTCTTATAGAGAACCAGTACGTCTTCTCATAGAGGACGAGTAGGTCTTCTAATAGAAGACGAGTAGGTCTTCTCGTAGAAGACGGGTAGGCCTTCTCATAAAAGACGAGTAGGTCTTCTCATAGAAGACGAGTAGGTCTTCTCATAGGAGACCAGTATATCTTCTCATTGGAGACCAGTATATCTTCTCATTGGAGACCAGTAGGTCTTCTCATAGAAGACCAGTAGGTCTTCTCATAGGAGACCAGTAGGTTTTCTTCTTCTCATAAAAGACCAGTAAATCTTCTCATAGAAGACCAGTAGGTCTTCTTCTCTAATAGAAGACCAATACGTCTTCTTCTCCTCATATTCTACTCATAGACTGACTTTCCCTTTTTTACCCAACTTATGCAACACCCCTCTTTCCCCTCTTCGAACTGACACACAATACAAAACAGGCATCTGGCATCTGAACCCTTTTGGGTGTTATTCACTTGATCTATGTTATGCAACACGTCTTTTATTATTTAAAACCACACATAAGTATTTCAACCGCAGAAACAATCACATTGCACAACAATGCCTGGCAGACAGACAGACGAAGACTAGGTGCGATAACATAGAATGGAATGTTTGCAGGTAACTTTGTTATACGGCACCATGTGGCGGAAGGAGGATTTTGTTGTTGGAATGACAAGATAGAATTATCAAGGACAAGAATGTTGAGTTGTAGCACCATTCCAACAATCAAAACTCTTATTCAGAGATCATGAATTTAAAAATATAAAATATTTTCTCCCAAAACTATCCAAGCAAAAATAATAAATTAAAAAAATGCAATCACCACTTAGATTATAATCAAGGCTAATCAAAATTTTGGATTATATATCTTTGTCGAATATTTTTTTTAAAACCATAATATAGTTCTGGAATATTTAATAAGGTCCAAGAGGGCCTTTGTGGTATATCTCCAAGACATTTTTTTCATAATCGCGGATTTCTTTAAAATATAATGACAATAACATTTTGAATATTTTAAAAGTATTTATCAGGGACAATCAGGATTGTGGACTTTTTAACAACATTTGTTAGAACCACCAAGGCCATTAACGTAAATCTTTTAAGAATATTTTTCATAATCCCCAAAGTGCAATCCCCAAAGTGCAAGAACTTACACCACAACAGAAAGAAAAAAAAACAGAAAGTGGTGAACTGCCGAATTTGATTTTCTCCGATGCGAAAACATTCGTTGTCCAGCAGTTTGTTAAGCAAACAAAATAATAGTGTTAACTTGCCAAAGAGGTCAGCTGAAAATGTGCACCTTCGGTTGGCCACCAGAACTCAAGAGCAGGCCATGGTGATGGTGTGGGCCGCCATAACAGCCGATGGTCGCTCTCCGCTCGTATTAATCGACCGTCGCATCAGAATAGATGGCGAATATTATCGCGAAAATATTCTGAAGGGTGTATTAAAGACTTAAGTATGCAAACATTTTGACCTCAGACCTTGGACATTCCAACAGGACTCAGCACCATCGCACTCAGCACGCGCCACCCAAGAATGGTTACAAAATGAGTTTAATCGCTTCATTTTCAGCGCACAATGGCCACCAAAATCTCCGGATACCAATCCGTTGGACTATTGTGTCTGGAGTATTTTGGAAAGCAAAGTTGTCACTAAAAAACATCAAAGTGTTGATCACCTCAAGCAAGCGCTTCGCCGAAATGGGCCAAAATACAGCAGGGCAACATTCGGGCAGGGTGTGCCGATTTCATTGGACTTTGAAGGCCATAATTCGTGCTAAACGTGACCAATTCGAAAAAAATCTAAAGTTATTCTACATTTGATGCTATTTCCTAGATTTTTTGCTTTCATTCAATAACATTTAAAAAAAATGTAAAAATTGTGGCGTTTGACTTTGTTACTGTTTTTTATCTCACCGTGTATGTCCATCCCTCCGTCTGTGCATCTTAATTTGTAATTAAGTTACAGGTCGCAATTATGGTCCGATTCTCACGAAAATCAAAATGGAGGTGGGGCTAGGGCAAGAATAAAAAAAAATCAGATTTTGTAGTTGTTCTACAATAGACGCGAAATTTTGCATTGGATTAGAGTTTATGGCTGGGCAGAAGATTATCGATGTGGATGGTCATCGGACAATAACTTTTATGTTAAGAAATACGAAAATTTCCACTAAACCGCGAATATTTTTTCAATTTGACTTACAATTTTGAATTGTAAATTTTCTAAAGTTTTTCTACACCCCGCACCCCAGGGTATAATACAAGGTTGTCCATATTCGACGGACCCATCTGACAACGCCATAACTTTTCACAGAGATGTCACATCGCTTAATGACATACCACGTTTGAAGCGTCAGTCCAAGCAGATTTTTAGAAATTTTAGAAATTTACATTCAACAGAAGAAGTCAATTGTGAAAACTCAACGTGCTTTTAAAACATTAAAAAATGTGAAAAGTGCGCCTTCTAAGAACACCATTAAGCGTTTATACGAAAAATTTTCGACTGGTAAGGCTCTTTCTAATCCGAAGAGGCCATATAAAAGTCGACCAAGGCGATCGGCCGAGAATATCGCTGCCGTGCGAGCCAGTGTTGAGAGGTCCCCAAGAACATCCCAAAAACGCCGTTCTCAGCAGTTGGGCATGGCTCGGTCCACTTTACAACGGATTATTCGCATTGATTTGCATTTGTTCCCGTACAAAATTCAATTGACGCAAAGAATGTTGCCTGCGGACAAGCCTCGTCGATTGGAATGGGCCCAAAGGTCCGTCGAATATGGGCAACCCTGTATACATGTCGCATTTATCGTCCGATCCTTACGAAATTTTGCATGGGGTAAGGTAAGGGTCGGAATTAAAGCCTATTGTCATGGAAATGCACATTCAGGGCTTTAAATTAATATTTTCCTGATTTTGTAGTCGCTCTACAGGTCACAATTGAAAACCAATCGACACGGGATTTTGCATGATGAGACAGTCAAGGGCATGAATGACCATGAATTATATTTAACATGAATTAAATTTAACTGTAATGAATGACCATGGAATTATATTTAACTGTAAAACGGACCACAACTTTCGGGTGAATTATATACCTATCAACACCACGAGGGCGTAAATATTGGACAAATGCCCCAGGTCAAAAACTAAGGGTAACATCAGTGAAGGCCTCTATGAGATTATTTCAAAAACGAAATCTTTAAAAATAGATTTGGAAATAAGGGGCTTCCAACATTTTGTTTTAGGGTATCACATGGTCGGCCCCGCACGACTACAGCCTTTGCTTACTTGTTTTTAAAATCAAATTTACAAAATTATTATACCATGTTTACAATCTTATTTTTAAGTGACAGCTGTACTATGTGGTCAAATGACTTGACCTTATTTGCTATTAATTTCCAATAAATCCCGAACACAAACAAAATTAAATTAACAGAACACTAACATATCCCAAAACTTTGTCTAACTCAATTTTAAATGTAACTATGAAATTCTCAATAAACCCAATTTTGACATATGCTAACTGACAATTTTTACCTTTTATGATATTTTCTATAATCCACTTTATGTGACACACAGATGATGTTCCGATGTCAACAATCTAGTATGAATAAATGTCATCAACACTGACAACCAAGCAAAAATGAAAATAACCAAAAAAAAGACAAGATTAAAATTTTCCACTTTT